GGCAAAGGCAATGAGGGATGGCTACAAAAAGCTGGTAATTTTGTGCTTGTGACAGGAGTTAGAACTGCAGATACACCAAGAAGAGTTTGTTTCTGAGTCTAGGTGAACTAAGCACTAGGAACAGAATTTTAGGTACTTGTATGCATTTTGTTCTATCTGTAAGCTCACATACAAGAAATTAAGATGTGAGGTTTTTAAAAGAAACATAAGGCATTATTGAGTTGATTTTGCATTGGAAATTCTGGCCTTAAAAAAAACAAAGGGTGAAGAGTTAGCTGCTCTAAAGGTGTTGCTTTGTCAATTAATTCATTCAGTGCACATTAGCACTTCTCAAAAGATGTTTACAGTTTCAAGGTCAAGAGCTAACCAGTTATTAGGGCTACATCAACTAACATGGTTTGAATTGATTCCATTATTATTAGAAGCTAAAAGAAGTAGAGCAGCATCTTTTGATGAAGAGGGAATCAAAGTGTATATTTCAAGTACAAAGAGAGGTTGCAGTGTATACAGGTGTAAATTGGAATAATGTTTTTGCAAGCATTTCTGAGAACAGCTGAATAAGGTTCAGAACAAGAAGGACAAAACCGTATTGGGTTTTTGCTTTCATGAAGTCCAAAGAAAACTGAGACATGACATTTTGCTCTGCCACAATCACAGTAATGGCTGGTGCCTCCCAGACTTATGGGTACTCAGTTTTTAAAACAGTAACTATGAAAGCCAAAGATTCTTTTAGGGAAGAAAGCAGTAATGGTGGCTGTCACATTGGTGGAGGCTGGAGCAGACACTTTGTTCCTTTGCTTTGAAAGGAGATGGAACATAAATGAAAAAGAATAAAAAATCCCAACATGGAAACTGGTTTATATCCTAAAAGATTCCAAACTGGACATAAAATTAGTCCTTAAAACAGGTTGATGACAAACGTTTCCTAGATTCTCTAGATAAAAATGGAGACAGGAAGTAATGTCCTCAGTCTATCAGGATGAACAGACTGAAGAAAAAAAAATTATCCTCTTTTTTTTTGCATTCATGCCTGACAATAAGCTTCTCAGTGTGATTTAAGACGCCAAGAATCCAGGTCATTCTGCCTAGGTAAGTATCACCTTCTCCTTTGAGTTACTTTTTAAGTCATTCATTGGAACTCTGCCATCATCACAGGAAGTTTTGGCATGTAGACAGCTAAATAGATGAATTTGTCATTTCATGAAAGAACAAGAAGTTGCTAGAAATGTGCAGAGTCTGTATATAAGCAGGCAGAAAATTGACCTAATTGTCACTTCTTCATTTGTAATTCTCTGAGACTGATCTTCTTGAGTCTGAAAAGCAACTAATGGCTTTGAGTGCTTTAACAGAGCATTGGCAGAACAGGAAGAGCTTGGGGAATATACTCATCCTCAGCACAAAAAATTCTTCAGCTGGTTTTGTTGCTATAAATGTTGAGTGATTTGAATGCAGACAGCAGCGTTAGCTTGGATTTGTATCCATGAAACAATGACACTTGCTGAAGCTTGGAGATTATTTAGCTCCCTTTCACCTGAATTCATTTTAGCTCTTGGACCCCATTTAATTCCTTAGAATTGCAAAGCTTTGTCATAACTCTGTACTATTACCTTTGGACTTAGATAGATTGTTATGAATAATTCAGGAAAAAGTATGTCTGTCACTCCACCTGCATAGGACATTTTTTGGATGTATGCAGATTACTCTGTCAAATTACTCAGATTCCTATTAAGCTGTGATGGGTTACTTCATTTGCTGCAGCCCATAATTATGAAATGAAAGGGTCAAGCTGTGTTGGCTTTGACTTCTGCTTTCCTGACTTTTTTGACTTTGAGATAGTTATTTAGTGCTTCTTATTATATTATATGAAGACTCTGTGGGAGATGTTCTCATTAGCTATTTCTTCCTGTATTGAATCTCCATTATACTTACAGTAATAAATTTTTTTTTTACACTCACATAATATATTTCAGAGCAGTGCAAAATACTGAATGGGCCTTGTAGCACTTTAGTTTGTCAACTGTGGCTATATAGCTCCCTGACAGTTATCACTGATATTAATTTTGAACAGAGTAAGAGAATAGCAGAAATAACTGTTCAGTTGGGAAGTGCTGATGTTTTAAAATGGTAGTGATTGAAAAATGTTTTTACAGAGCTACCTATTAAATATAAACTGTAAAGAAATAAAAAATATTCTGCAGTGTACTTCAGGATAGAAGAAGTCGAGTAGAGTGCTATCTACCTTTTAAAAACAATTTTTAGGGACAAAGTAGTCATATAATCAATGTTTCATATATTAGTAGCCGAGTTCTTCAGCAGTAGCTGAATACAGAAGTCTCAATAATTGCACGGCGTCATGTTTCCCATTGTTGTAAATGCATTTCACAATAATGTGTGAGCATGGCAGTAAAATGTATTGCTTGCCAATAACTACATACCAGCTCTTTATACTGGGGAATATTTGGTATAGTTACCTAGGGTTAGTAGTACTTTTCTCTTCAAGCAGTAGTGCTGAAGTCAATGCTTTACTCAACAAGAACAAACATCACAACCTGTACATCTTTCAAGTACAAATATGTACTTAACTATGATACATTTGTATTCAAATGTGTTTCAAAGTTCTAGGCTGGGATGAATACATTGCTTACATATAATGTAATCACACAGCAGTCTTGTGCATGCATAAATACAGTTAGCATGATGTTTAAGAGGAGAAGACTCTGATAAAGTGAGGAGGCTGTGTTGATTCTGTATCATAAAAAGATAGACTATTAACATCTATGAAACCTCGTTTCTGCTTTATTTGAGGTCTCACAACTGACATACCCCCTCCCTCAGCTGAAGTTGCTCCTCCAAGTTAGATAAAGATAAAACCTCCCCATTTCCTTGTGCTCCTGTGGGTATTTCTATTACTGTAGAACAACTGTAAAATGGAATGAAAATCCAAATCTCACCACATCTGGAAGTGCCAGGCCAAGATATTCTCAAGTAAAGGAAAACAAATCTTGGTTCTCAACAGTTTAACTGATGTTTAAAATCTGATGTCAAAAAATATTCCAAATAATTTGTGTAGCAAGTGACCTTTAAATTGAAATTAGGCATATGAGTGATTCCTGGTACACTTTTATTTCTTCAGTAGATAAGCTACACCTCTGATGAATATAGCATTTGTCTGTGCTTTGTCATAAAAAATGAACTAATAAACTAAATTATATTTTATCTGTTCAATTTTTAAATTATTTTTGATTAGGATTGTCTGTACTTAATCTGCATTAATCTTTGCTCAAGTAAAAAATTAAAGATTTTTGTTTTCTTCTAACAGGGACCATTCCATGGTAAGAACCTCTAAGATCTCAAATAAGAAATGTCCAGTAATCAATCAAGACATTGTTTGGACCAAGGACATAATACTATAAAGTAAATGATATATCCAAAATGATTTAGTGGATTAGCTGTTTTGTGCACACTTCAGCTGCAATGCAGTATAGTCTGTTGCTACATATTTCATAAACCTCTGACTATTTTAATTAATTTCACATAAAATGGAATAGAAAGCAGAGCTTTCCCTTTATGGAAAAGTCTGCTGCTTTGAAGTGTATGAGTCCAATAGAAAATAAGAAGTGTATACGTTTATCTGAAAGGAAAGCCATGGTAGAATGGTTGTTTTCAATCAAGTGAAATATTTATTTTCTTCTAAGAGCTTAGATATTTTTGGAAGAGCTTAAAAATGAAAGTGGCTCCATTTGAGGGAAAGAAAACTGAATGTAACTTACATGAATTTTAAAAAGTGTATACAGTGGTAAAATATTGATAGTATATACATCAACTTTTTTAACAGCAGTAAGAATTTTTATATGAATAATCATATTGTTCCAATTTGTAAAGAAATGCATTTTCTTCAGAAAAAAGTATTTATAACTTTTCTTGCCTGCAACTTTGAAGTAATTTCACAATATGTGTGCTGTGAAATTTTTTGTATTCAATTTTTATTTAGCAACATGCTAGCAGAAAAATGATGCATCAGGGTTAATTATGTTCCATTACATATATTAATCTACGCTGTGATTTTGTGCCTTTCATTGGCTCTCAGTTTAAACAGAAGTAACTCAGAAACCGTTAAACTTGCAGTTTGTTTTCCAGAGGATATTTAATAATTTAAAACATCTGAGTTTTTTATCTTGTCCATTTCTGTATTGCCATCATATAGAACTGACCCTCCTGTATATCCATGTACTTTTGCATCACTGTGAATTTTATGGTATCAATGTAGAAAATTAAAATTTATATTGATTATAGGTTGTGTATGGAGTGGTGAACAAAATCTCCCCAACAAAATGTACAGAATGTTAATTTCTACATAACAGACAATGGAGGCACTGCCATTTTAATCCTTGATTCAAAGCCAATGATCAAGCACTTGAAGATGACAAACACACATTCTCTGATACACCCATGGTCTTTCTAAAGCCTACACAACAGTGAAACTATCTGGTGTCTCTATAGTCTGCTTAGATTTAAAAGTCAAGTTCCTTTTGAAAATAGGATTGTCGGTGAAAGTAGATTAATTCTAACAAGTATTGAAGATATAAGTTAGGTGACTGGTGTAAAACAACTTAGGAAGAAACACATCTGGATGAGTGTTTTATTTAATTTATCATGCACAACATCTTATAATGAGATGAGTCATTCACTGACATGCCTCTGTCTCTCCACACACACTACAGGGAAAACTAAGCTTTGATTTGAGAGCTAGCCTTAGGTGGGAAACTGGTAGAGATAAAATCCACATATAGAAGTTTAGGGCTTTTTGCTTCTTCTGCTCAGAAACTTATTCTTCAGCTTTTAGGAAGTAAAGAGATAGCAGGAAGAATAGAACCAGAGAGAAGGAGGAACAAATGAGCACCACACTCTTCCTAGTCACAATTCCTGGTTACCTTGTTGATTTAGCCTCCTTTTACATGCTGGTAAGCAATCAAATGAAAGCTCAAAATGCTTTACCATACCTGATTGTGGACTTTGTTTGGGGATTTTGGCTGCTGCTTCGGGGCTGGAGGTGGCACGTACACGCTGATTGGCGGAATTGTGGATGCTACTTGGGACAGCTGCTGAGATGTTTTTACGAGGTTTCATGTCTTGCAACCACATTGGGGATGCCTCAAAGGCTTGCATTCGCCGAGAGTGGCTGTTAGCATTGACTTTGAGAAACGCCTGGGCCTTGTATTCCTGAAGGTCTCCATAGTTGGCATCGGTCACCCTGCACTCATACAAGCCTTCATCCTTTTTCCTCACTTTTGAAATCTGCAGCTTGTGGGAGATGTCGTTCCCTTGTACTTTCACTGTCTGCAAATTTTCCAGGAAAAAAAAAAAGAAAACAGAGAAAAAAACATTGTCATGAATTCTTCTTTCTTAGGAAAAACTCTATGGGCATAGCACCAATTTACTCAATGGTGTGATTGTGCTTACTGCAGGGAAGTTACATCAAGGATGAGTATGGCTAACTGTATCTGTGAGGATGCCTGACATCTTCATTCCAAATCTGCTTAGATAGTTTGCTCTGAAATTTCATTAGCCTCAGAAAAAAAAGCCCAAGCTACCATGTTCATTCCAATTAATTGCTTAAGATCATGAACATTCTTAATGAGCTTTCTTATGTAAACCTAGTATCCATGTAGTTTATTGGTTAAAGCTTTCCAGTTAGTTGGCTTTATTGAATAATTCAGTTTCCAAACTAGTGCATTAACAATTTTGTTGGACATGAAGATTTAAACCATGTAAATAACTATTTATTAGATTAGCTTGTACTCTTCACTATATTGAAACTATATTTCACATTCAGTTTTTCTCCTTTAAGTGTGTCTAAATTTTTGGTATTTTTTTCTGTTAATGATAACAAGACGCATTGTGTCAGGTTGTTTCTTTTGTCTTGTTTATCTGTGTACTTATTAGAAGCACATGTTAAATGTTGCCAGCTAAAAAAATGCTCCTGATTTATTTTTAATTAGTTCTAATATCTGAGGGCAACATAACATATTTTTATTTCTGATAATAAAAACACACATAAGTAAATTATACACCCAGAAATGTGTGACAGGTATTAAGATGCATTGGGAAAAGTTAACACAGATTCCATTCTGTATGCTCATCACTTCAGAGAATTTATATTTAATTAATTTTCAATTATTCTCTATCTGAATTAATATCTTTTGCCCCACAGGAAGGCAGTCAAAAGGTATTCCATTGGATATAAATATTCAGCTCTGAACAACTCCTGAACCTGGTTTACTTCCACCATTACATAAACATGGATGCAAAGGTTGCTTTGAGTCATATCAGTGACAGCCAATAAGGAGACATCATGATGAATACATGATGGATCACAAAAACAGAGAACCACTAGATAGAAGCTAGACACATGTTATTGGGCACTGTACAATAAATTGCTTCTGACAGCTTGGTCTACTGTGGTAACTAGTGTTGGCAAGGCACCTATTATGCCTCCTTGATAAATTGAAGAGCAATACTCGTGAATATGTCATTGCTGGATGGACTTTATAGCCTGTTGTGTTGTACCCAGCTCTGAATTTATACTTGGCAAAGGGAGTTGAAAGTATAGATTACGTACTTACAGGCATAATGTATGCAATATTAATTGCACAGAAAGTGCTGGATAGTTATTTAAATCATATTCAATAACAATATATATCTCTACTGAACAATTCGTGTTCAGCAAAAGGATTAAAGAAGATTCATATGAATGGAAAGAGTATTGGTAGGTCATATTGTGACTTCATTTGTTCCTATGCAAGAGCCTGAAAATTACCAGTGCTGCATAGCCCTGGTTAAAAACAGAATTGTTTTTGACTTTTGCATTTGAAATTTAGGAATTCTTGCAGGCAACACATATGCATGTTTTCAGTTTGTGCTGCTTTCTCATTTAGAACAGACAGAAATGGTGTATTTCAGCCCACATCTATAATTTTAAGAAATATTTATTCAATGTAGTTTAGTTTTCTCTTCATTATGATAATTTACATTAGTACCAATGCAGCTGTGTATGCCTTTAAAAAAACAAGGCTACATTGTAAAATGTAGATAAAAAGTAGATTTAGACATCTACTAATGTTGATTGTTTTTATTACAAATATAAAATAAATTTTTTATGCAGGGTTATAGGAGCACCATAAATACCTTCTCATGAATTAATATTATACATAATGAAAGAGATTTGTAACTTCAAAGATGAGACAAGCTTTATAGTCTATATTGTGTCTCAGTTCTTATGGATTACTTCAGGGATTTCAAGGAATGAATTATGTGCTAGTCCTATGTCTAGTAGAATAGTATCCAAGGACCACATGAGAGCCTTATTTGTAAGATAGTCTACAAAGCAACTGAAGATATGGTCCCTGACACAAATCGTTTCTAGTCGATGGTAAGAAGTAGCACAGAAAATGTAAGTTTGGCTATAATATGTATTGTATTGAACAAGGCAAACCTGAGCCCCCATTTATAAATGCCCTGCAGCTATACTTAGGTGTACTTTGACCTGATGTAATTATCTGGTTTGTTATTTGTAGGCATCAAAAAACAGCTGAATAAAGGATTTGTCAGAAATTATTCCCCTTTATTTGTTGCTGTTTTAAGCTTTGCTGGTACTTAAAGCCTTGTCTGCAGCTAAAAAACACTTCCAAAGCGATTATGCCAGAGAAAGGGAAAACCCCTCTGGGCTCAAAGGGAATATTCATGCTGCAGTATCTGCTTAGTATCTCTGTCTTTCCACTGCAGTGAGCACCACACCATCATCCCACCACCACACATTTCTTGGGATGCTGAGGGAGGAGGACCTGACCTATTCTGAGGTCAGGAGCAGCCTTCTGGCTGTGCCTGACTCAGGACACGAGTTGGCTGTGGAAGGCATCCTCTCCCTGCAGGGAGCAGCAGCAGGGGGAATAGAGCAACGCTGCTTTATAATTCTGTTGAGATAAGATTCTGGTTTAATCTCCAAGCACCAGACTGGTAACTGGTGTCAGAATCTCACTTGTGTAAAACTGAGTCTCTGTGGCAAAGAGTTGAGATTGCTCCCAATGGGGAGGTTTTGTCCAAAGCCTTTCTGAGCTCTCTTTCTGCCAGTGGGTATGGACGTGACAAAACGCCCATCTCAGCAGTCGCACACCCCACTAAAGGAAAGTGCAGCTTCATGGACAAATTTCAGTCTCAGGACAACTTTGGAGGTCTGCTAAGGAAGACTCAGCAGTTGCCCAGGGCAAATGAGAACAAGAAAGGCAAGGATTGGTGCAGGCTGAATTTTTCACAGGTACAAACAGGGTCTGCCAATGGACTTTGCCTCGACCGTGCTGGTCGATGCCTCCACGTCCAAGGGTGTGGGGGCTGCACGGGGAAAGGCTGCCCTAACACCCTCTGCCAGGACTGTCAAGGAAGTAGTCACAGAATTATAAAATCAACTATTTAGGTTGGAAACGACCTCTAAGACCATTGAGTCCAACCGCTGAGCTGCGGGCTGCCAGCCGCCCGCAGTCTGCAGTGGGATGGGGAGGAGATGCGGGGCAGGAACAGCACCCCAGGAGGCCCTCACTGGGGAAGGGACCCCCG